CCAAGGAAACTTATATCAAGAATACCAGGAACGATGAGCTGTTACCTGTTCGCAAATTGAACGAAACCACAACGCTTGCCTACTGGTATCTTCACATGAACAAGCTCACCAAACTGACTAAAAACTTGCCTCAACATGTCATCATTCACACTGGGATCCAGACCCCCAACAAATATCTGCACTCAAAAGTTTCAGGAGTTACTATCATGCCACAAGAAATGTACAATGCCAACATTAGAAAAAACTACGCACTGTTGTATTATTTGGATCAGCTTCGCCTGGATTTCCTTGAGTACTTGGGTAGGAAGCTGCAAATATAAACACACAAGCACTAATTTATCTGATAAAATTGGAAGCACAGATAAAGTTTTTTGCAGAAGAAATCCTTATCAGCCTGGTACGCATTGAAAAACTGAGTACAGTTTACACCATGCTATTATGGTTCCACAACTCACAATCTCAAAATGAATCAATTTGTCAAATTAACATGTCAAATAGAACTTTGTGTGCAAAACGACTTCCATGCAAATTATATATACATTAATACACTCATTTGTCTAAAGGTCTATCTCCTCCAACTTCAAACTGGCAGTGCTGAATGAAGCATTCCATATAACTGTTATGGTTAGCATATTACACGATGCACTGACCAACTGACAATAACCAACATTGTCTCCATTACTTAACAAACACCTCCCAACACTACCAATTTCATTTTTAAACAAAGGATTTGTCTTTTAACAAGAAACCATGGACATCATAATTATCAAGAGGTCAAGGAAAGGCAATTCGACCATAATCAAACATAATAAATTACATAAGCAGACATTTAAAAACTGAAGAAAACAACAAATCTAAACACGCAATTAAACAGATTTCTCAAAATCCATACAATGAGTTAGACAGATCACATAGACTCCACCCCAGAAAAGTCTAAATGAAAAAGTACTTCATAAACCTATTCCTGATACAATATTGGGATGCCCACTTTACCACAAATTACAAAGTGGCACTACTACCTAAATTACAGCGAAGAAAGGAAGATGATAAGATGCAAGCTTACAAAAATTTAAAAAGACCTGCTACTGACGCTCCAAAAGTAGGCCATTATGGACTCCTCCCTAGTGAAAAAATGTAAGGTTGGGGGAAGTGCAGTGTCTTTTCTGGAGTGCTAATAACAATTCCCAAATTTAATGGTGATTTCATTAAACATGTGTACTAGTCCATTGGCCTAAACTACAAGTTTAAGCATTTCATGCAGATATATAATCTGACTTAAGATGAGGGCTGAAATTTGGGAGCACATTCTACCCTATCAAATATAGAGAACATTGTGGAACCGATCCACAAAGAAAAAACACACTGGTTCTTCAACACAAGCGAAGTATTAAAAGAAGGATATATAAACTTCAGAAACGGAGTAAACGTAAACCTGACTGGCAAATGGAATAAATGCAAACCCGACTGGAAATAGGAACAAAGTAAACCAGACTGGTAAATGGAATAAAAGTAAGCTGACTGGTAAATGGATTAAATGTAAAGCTGACTGGTAAATGGATTAAATGTAAAGCTGACTGGTAATGGAATAAATGTAAAGTTGACTGGAAAGGTAATTCTTGAGTAGCATAAAATGCCACGAGAAAAGAAGTAAAAAGCTTCTGACATAAACAAAATAACTGACCTAAAATGAGGCCACGCACTAATGTGGAATCATTTCATCTGAAATCAGTTCCAGGCCCCCGAAAATGAGAGCCTCTCGGTGTCCTGCTTTAAGACAACATGAGTTTCACATAAGTTTTTGCATGTTTTAACATAATTAAATGCGCCCAAGTTTACAAAGGAAAGTACTCGAAGGAAATGACTAAGTCCCGCCAATCTTCAACTGAATAATACGGCAAATTTAGAACACTTGTGAGAACGTCACCTCGAAAATGGAAATTAAAAGCCCTAGTACTACTCACCAAACCATAGTTAACATAAGGTGCAAGATATTCATAAAGTACAAGAGTAGAACAAACATCTAAGAAAATAATTAACTACATTGAAGCCTTTCATACAGCTGCAGAAGTATTAATGTGGGTATTACCACAAACCATAATGCAACACTAACTAGAATACATACCTTTCTGATATTGCTGTCCACCACTGGCTGGTTTCTTAGTAGCCGCAGGCCCAATCCTCATCGGTCTGGTAGAGCAAAACTGGCCATTCATCTCAGTCATGGCTCGCAATTGCTCACCTTCATCAGCGAACCTAACAAAACCATATCCTTTGGATCGCGCTGTGGTCCTATCAGTTACAACCTTTGCACCCTTGACAGAATGGTAATTTTGTCTAAATGTTTCTTGAAGCATATAATCAGTCACATCAGCAGCCAAATCCCCAACAAAGACAGTAAAATCTGGACCATCATCCTGTCGTCTCTCGCCAGCACCTAGGGTTGCCCAATTCAGTCTGAAATTCTGCTCCGTGTTGGGCATAAGAGTGCCATTGTATGTCTGCAAGATCTGCTCAGCCGCAGCACGAGACCTAAACTCGATAAAACCATAACCTTCTGGCAGACCCGTAAGCTTGTTGCGGATAACCTTTGCGTTCACAGCCTACAAACAACTCAAGAAACAAAAATTAATACAACATACTGGGATCCACAAACCCTAGACGTAATGGGATCAACAAGGTACAAGTACCAAAAAAAATAGCAAATATCAATTGGGATTTCAAACCCTAGACGTAATTTTTGGTCGAAAACTCTAAACCAACTATAGTTTTGATGTTTATATTGTAGTAGTTTTCTCAAACAGAATTTTCGGCTGAAAAATCATCGAAAGTTTGGTTTTTTATTTTGAATCACATCTAGAAACAAACCCTAAATTCCAAATTTGAAGTAGAACTTCAATAAAAAAACCAATCAGCGGACAGTAATCTTAAAAAAAAAAAAAAAAAAACCCCATAAATTGAAACCCTAGATGTACCTACACAAAGCAATACAAATAATCATATGCGTGCGCGAGTATATACCTCTCCGGTGGGACCAAAGCAGCTGAGGATATAAGCCTCGTCCATCCACTGCAGCAAGTCACCGATCCAGAGGGAGCGGATCTCATCGGAGCCAGGATTCTGTGTGGTCGCGTACTGCTGAGGCGCCTGCTGGCCCCACCCAGCCTGAGCCGGAGGGGCTTGGCCCTGTTGCTGTGGCGGCATCATCATCCACTGCTGCGGCGGCTGCTGCTGGTACTGCTGCTGCGGATCCGACGGAACCTGTTGTGGGTGCACTCCTCCTGATGGTTGTTGCATCATGGTGAAGATAAAGGCGGGTGTTTGGGTACGGGGATGAGGGTGTCCTCGTGGAGGAGGAAGGAGGACTGCGGCGCGGTTTGGGAACACCGATAACTTCAATCCCGGATTGGGTTTTGAGAGAGGGAGATATTTTCGTGGTAGGGATGGTTTATATAGACGGAAGGTTACGGAGTGACACGTGGCGACCTAGTATTGGTTGAACTGTGAGAGATTGTTGACTATTCGGCCGATGGGCCGGTCCTGGGCCTGACCCTGACCCTGACCCAAACCCTAATTTTTCTTAAACCTTGAATTCCCCAAAATCAAGGTACGCATTCAAAGTGATTTTCTGTTTGGTTGGTTGATTTGTAAAGTAACTATTGGTTAGTTTTCTGTTTGGTTGCCAAGAAAGTTTGTAAAGTAATTTTCTTTGCTGTGTTTAATTTGAACTGCAGCTGTGGTGGTGGATGACGAATTCGATACCAAATCAGATTATTCATTGTGTAGCTTTTCCAAACCCTATCTCCCCTTAATGTAAAAATACATCGATGTACTAAAAAAAAAAAAATTATGTTCTCATGCTACATAAGAGTTTATCAAGTTGTTGAAAGGTGATTCCGGTGGCGATTTGCTCTGTTATTATGTGAAGAATTCGGGTAAGTGCTCGGCGCTTGTCTAATTCCACATCACGCAAATTCCTTCGAAACTCAAATTCCCAATTCACATAATGTTCAACAAGACTAGGCATAGTAGAAATACTCTTGTTATGAAATCTGATAAGTTAAACAACCTAGGAAATGAGACTTGTAAAGATCTTTCGCCCAGCCAAATGTCTTCCCAAAATCTAATTTGATCTCCTTTGCTAGGAACAAAATGGCAGCACTCCAGAAAAGAACTATACCCTTGGGAAATATCCTTCCAAGGACTTCTACTTTTTCCAAACCGAACCATCTTGGTATCCAGTAGCGGAGCCAATGCGGGGGCATTGGGCTCCCTTGACCCCAATGGATCTGTAATTTGTCCCTTTAAATAAAAATTTGACCCCTTTAATAGCACTGCAACAGCAGCTTTGCAACAGCTCCAGCGAATGTGCAGAAAAGCAAACTGCAATATCAATTATATATTACTAAAATAATCAAAATGTGCAGAAAAGCAAACTGCAATATCAATTATATATTACTAAAATAATCAAAGTGTGCAGAAAAGCACATGACTGTTGTGTGTTGTCTAAATTACAATCAAGCAAATTGCAAATTTTGATTATTAAATAACATTAAAATAAGGAAAGTTGCAGAAATGTGTCTAAAGACTCACTCCTTGGACAAAGTGTCTCTCGGATGGAAATGATCGAGGTTCCGAGAAGAAGAGACTCTCTCCCATCTCACTCTCTCCCATCAGACTCTTTCTGTCTCTCCTCTCGAATTCAAAGACCCACCCATCCTTTCACAATCAGACTCCGATAAATCAAGGTTAGGGTTTCAATTTTGATCGATTCACCAGTCTCTGATTTTAAATTTTTAATGCAGGTTCGGTTTCGGGAAATCCCGAAATACACAAAATATTTCGGGAATCCCGAACTTAGTTATATTATGTTGTTGAAAGTCTTTTTGGTTTTATTTAAAACAGTTATGGAGAGGTATTTTAAGAGAAAATCAACCGAAGATAACATCTCACCCTCTACAACAAATATTCCTAAAAGTTCAAATGAAAATAACATAGAAAGTATACTGGCAAATCTTCCAGAAGATCCTGGGCTTCGACTCCGGATATCAGAATATGATCCAAATATTAGAGATCAGGTTCGAAGAGCTTATTTACAAAGGGAATTGGTTCAACCTCGAACCCATCAATTTCCATATACTTCATTTGCAAGAGTACAACGCCGTTTCAATCCGAAATGGTTCGATGACTTTCCTACTTGGTTGGAGTATAATATATCCAAAAATGCTGTTTTTTGTCGAAGTTGTTATCTCTTCAAGCTAGAGATTCCAGACCAAGTAGGTAATGACAATTTTACTAGTAAAGGTTTTCATAATTGGAAGAAAAAATGTCGACTTCGAGTTCATGTTGGAGGCCCTAATAGTGCTCACAACCAAGCTTTACTTCATTGTGAAGCTTTAATGAATCAGAATCAACATATTCAAACAATTGTTCACAAGCAGTCGGATCAAACACGTATTGATTATCGCACTCGTTTGAATGCATCACTTGATTGCATTCGCTTTTTATTGCGACAAGGTCTTGCTTTTCGCGGTCATGATGAAAGTGAAGATTCAAGCAATAAGGGTAATTTTCTTGAGCTTTTGAAGTTTCTCGCAGATCATAATGAGGGTATTAAAGATGTGGTGTTTAAAAATGCTCCTGAAAATCTCAAGTTAACATCACCTGATATTCAAAAAGATCTTGTGTATGCAGCAGCATGTGAAACCACTAATGCTATCATGTTTGATATTGGTGATGATGCTTTCTTTTCTGTTTTGGTTGATGAATCGCGTGATATATCAGTCAAGGAGCAAATGGTAGTTGTACTTCGCTATGTGAATACCAACGGACAAGTAGTTGAAAGATTTGTGGGCATAAAGCATGTTCCTAATACCACTGCTATTTCACTTAAAGAGGCAATTGATCAATTCTTCTCTATAAACGGATTAAGCATATCTAGATTGCGTGGACAAGGTTATGATGGGGCTAGCAATATGCAAGGTGAGTTTAATGGCCTTAAGACACTTATTTTGAAAGAAAATGAAAGTACATTTTATATTCATTGTTTTGCACATCAACTTCAACTTGCTCTTGTAGCCGTGGCGAAAAATCATATTCAAATTGGCTCTTTTTTCTGCTTGGTTAATAATGTCGTTACTATTGTCGGAGCATCATGTAAACGTCGAGACATGGTTAGAGAAAGACAACAAACCAAAGTTATGGAAGCTATTCAAGATTATGAGCTTCCAAGTGGGCAAGGCTTAAACCAAGAAACTAGTCTTAAACGTGCAAGTGATACACGTTGGGGCTCACACTATGGTACCTTGGTAAGCTTGGTTAATATGTTTTCTTCTGTAATTGAGGTGCTTGAGATGATTGTAGATGATGGTGTAAGTCTTGATCAAAGAGGTGAAGCGGATATTTTGTTGAATCTTTTGCAATCTTTTGATTTTGTCTCTAGTCTCTTTTTGATGAAAGAAATATTGGGAATCACAAATGTGTTGTCACATGCATTGCAAAAGAAAGATCTCGATATAGTGAGTGCTATGGCTTTAGTCAAAGCATGTAAGCAACAACTACAAGCGATGAGGGATAATGAATGGGATGCTTGGCTTGATAAAGTTTCTTCTTTGTGGCAAGCATGATATTGATATTCCTGATATGAATGACATCTTTGTAGCTCGAGGGAGGTCACGACGTAGAGTTGAAAAATTGACAAACCTTCATCACTACCGTGTTGATCTCTTTATTGATGTTATTGATAAGCAACTTCAAGAGTTGAACAATCGTTTTAATGAGACAAGTACAGAGTTGCTTCTTTGTGTTGCATGCTTAAGCCCAGAAGACTCATTCTCAGGTTTTGACATTGAAAAGTTAGTTCGACTTACTAAATTTTATCCAAAGGATTTTTCTGATATGGAGCTCACACTTCTTGAAGATGAACTGAAGAATTATATATTTGATATGCGTTTGCATAATGAATTTTCTACTTTGAAAGGAATTAATAACCTTGCACAAAAGTTGGTGGAGACAAAGAGGGATAGACAGTATCCCCTGGTGTACTTGCTAGTGAAATTAGCATTGATTTTACCTGTTGCGACTGCTTCAGTTGAAAGAGCTTTTTTGGTGATGAAAATTGTGAAGAATCCACATCATAATAGGATGGGTGATCAATGGTTGAATGATAGTTTGGTTGTGTACATTGAGAAAGATGTATATGATTCTATTAGTAATGATGTTGTAATACGACGTTTCCAAAATATGAGAACACGTCGTGGACAATTATGAATGAAAGTATGATCGATTTTTGAAAGTTATTTTTTGACCCCATTATCTTAAATTCCTGGCTCCGCCACTGTTGGTATCCCAACCATTGTCACTGATACCATACTTGCTTCTAATCACTTTATACCAAATGGACTCACTTTCGACTGGAAAAAGACTTCCTCCCTGATGTATAAACATCTTTTGACATTCATGAACTTGCCAGTTTTTCCACAAATCAGTGACATAAGGGATCAAGCACATCATCTTGCACAAGCAACTACGTTAAGTACCGGTGCTTTTGACAGAAACTAGCATGAAGTTATAATGGTTCTTGTTTTTAGTGGGTTTTAAATCCAAACAAGAGAATTGGTGTATGTCAATTTATAATTTCTAACTTTGATCCAAATTCTAAGTTTATTTCTCTCATCCAAACATAGTGTTAAAATACTTGCAAGAGTACAAGGTAATAGCAGTTCTAGCAAGGTCGTTCTCCACAGGAATTGAATGAATAATTTATGTAAAAACCAAATCTTAATTAATTATTTGAAAACAAAGTTTGGACAATGGTGATTTTATGGTCTAAAATATTAAAAACGAATTTAATTAAAAACAATTAAATAAATTGGCAAAGTAAATAACAAAATAAAATAGTTTGAATATCTATTTAAGCATTAGAGTTCCGCCGTCACCTTAACAATTCTACGTAATTCTTCCAATTACTTAAGAATTACCCATGCATATTTTGAAGGTTAGGTTTTCCTAATATATATCCTGCTTAGAACCTCCAACATAGAACGTATATCTAACATGCAACCTGTCTGTAGCGTCCAGATCGAACATGAACATGCAAGACTCATTAAGTTTTGTGAAAACCTTTTGAAAAACCATACAACCCTTGAACATGTCGTCCATTCTAAAAAGTTACACATATTAACCGCAAAAAACCTTGGTCAATTTCAGGGACAGCCATTAGCTAAAATTGCATCAAATGACCTTTCTAAATATTCTAATGGTGGCCAATCGTCAAGACAATTAAATAGTTTCAAACATGGTGATTAATAATTCAAAACCTGCATGCATAATATCATAAGAAAATTAAAAAAAAGCTACATATTCTTGCTAAGGCTCCTGGCCTCACCCTAACAAATGAAATTAGTTACGAACAATTATAAAACAAAATATTATTAAGAACATGGATAAAAAAAACACCTTGAAAATAAACTTGAATCGTTAAAAGCTCCAAAGTAGTGCGCTCTCTAAAGTCATTCTCTCTCCATAATCTCTAATGGCTAAATAGCCTTATTTATACTACTACAAAATAAAATTTTACTTCTTCCAAAAAAAAAAAGAAAAATCTTACATAGAAAATGTCTTCTAAAAACTAGGAAACATAATAAAATAAGATAATTAGGAAATAAAAGGTTTCCTATTTAAATAGGAATTGGGACTACAGAGAAAATTCATCATTTGACCAACCAAAATCAACTTTGATTTAGTCCCAAAATGTCTATTTTTAAAGATTGAGACGTCCCTAACAAATCGTCAAAATGAATCTTCCTTAAAATATGCTATCTTGACCTTCAAAATACCCAAAATGTTCAGAAACGTCAATATGGAAAAGTTGTGCGCCGGGTCTTTATTTCATTGCCACGGTCAAACTACTTGGTAGAAAAATCTGAAATTTTAATACAATCATCTTGAAACACTCACGAACATCTTCCAATTGAAATCACTCCAAAATTCATCTGTTTGATCACTTTTTGCTTAAGAGGAAGTCAAATGTCCTACATTGAAAAATTGAAAATACTTAACAAAGTATCAAAGTTCTACCAAAATAACCAATAAATTATAAGGGTAAATTACATTTTACCCCCTCAGATTTCGATACAAGTACAACATCATACAATATCTTTAAAACATTTCAATCTCATATATTTAGTATTATTTTTTTTCAATTTCATACAATCATTAAAAAATCTGTTAAGTTACCGTTAAGTGATGACGTGGCAAATATGGGGTTCCTATTTGTGCTGGCGTGGCTACCACATTTATGCCACGTGACTAAACACTTAATAAAAATTTTAAAAAATTAAAATAATTAATTAAAGAAAGGTAAAAAGACAAAAACCCCAAAATCCCCTTCATCTTCCCCATCAATCCAGAAACTTTAACCCGAGCCCACCCCTTTCTCCTTGCCAACTAGATTAACCCTCTTGGCCGGTTGCTCCTCTGCTTGAGGATCGTTCTGTCGCTGGCCTTTCTTTTGCTCCTGCTTCCTCTTTGCTTCATGCTTTCTCAACGTCTACATCTCCCGTTTCGTATGCGGATCTAGAAGCGCACTATCCGGCTCAGATGACTCGAACGGTGACGAAGATGGCGCGTTTGGTTGGGATGGCGGTATTTGGTGCTCATCCTTTCTCGGATCTACGTTGAACCCTTTGGCTAGCTTCGAGTTCTCCGGTTTTCGGAAGCTGCCGCCGATCGACAGCCCCAAATCCAGCTCAACCTCCTCCTCTTTCGATGCCAATTCAAGCTTCAAGTTCTTTTTTTGTTGTTTGCTCTGAAAATCTCTAGGGTTTTTTTGGGTTCAAATTTTCCGAGGGAGAGAAAAGGGGGAAGGGGAAATAGATGGGACGAAAGCGAGAGAGGGGGCCACATGCAGGAAACAAAACGGTGGGTTGACAGAGGGGTGGCTCGGGTAGGGAAATTTGGAATTTTGGGTTAGATGGAGCGTAGAATTAATGGGGGAAGGGGTGGTGATGGGGGATGGGAGATGAGAATGGGAGAAGGGGTGGTGATGGGGGATGGGAGATGAGAATGGGAGAAGGGGTGGTGATGGGGGATGGGGGATGGGAGATGGGAATGGGAGAAAGGGATAGGCTTGGGTGGGGAAGACGAAGGGGATTTGGGGTTTTTTTTTTTAATTATTTTTTTTAAAATTACTTAAAGTTTTTATTAAGTGTTTAGCCACGTGGCATAAATATGACAGCTACGTCAGCATAAATGGGGACACCATATTTGCCACATCATCACTTAACAGTTAACTTAACATAGTTTTTAAAGGTTGTATGAAATTGAAAAAAAATAATACTAAATGTATGAGATTGAAATGTTTTAAAAATGTTGTATGAGGTTGTAATTGCATCGAAACATGAGGGAATAAAATGTAATTTACCCAAATTATAACTAAGATTAGGGTAAAATATAAAGTATAATATTCACTCATCATATATCTGACCAGGAAACTTGTGGAATTCTTTCTATTCCCATTAGGGCTATGCCTGCTGACAGTTCCTTAGCAATTACACTTGTGGAAGTTAAAAGATTTGAAAACAGTAGGGATGCTGGTGAGATAGCTGGAATAACCAAAGCCTTTTCTTTCTCAATTATCTCTACGAGTCCCGTGGGAATACTGTAAAAGTTTCCATCGGTTACGCCCGTTTGGAAATATCTTCTTGGTGTTCCTGTCTCTCTCTTATCATCAATATTTTTTTCTGGAACAAACCCTTTTAACCAATGTTTCTAAGTTGTGGCCTGATACTTTTATTCCTGGAAGATACAAGACTTGCTTGTAGCTGAGCTATCAGAGTGCTCAACTGATTGCCACCTTATTTCCCCTTTGCGCCTTGTGCTATTTTGGCTTTATCAGACACGGTCATCTCATAGAGTTGGACAATTAGTCAACTTCCAACAACTGTCGGAGATTTGTTTAGTTCTTGTGGAGAATTTGTTACCTCAACTATTTATTTGAAGACTGATTCTGATTCCTTTGAAAACCACTCGGTTCTTCTGTCAAGCCAAGATGTTTTCACATCGATTTCTAAGTTGTAACTTGTCAGCTGGCTTTTTAAGTTGTTTTCACATGGCATAAACGCATCAGCACAGAATTAGGCTCACGTGTGCCACTCAGGCAAGTGATGGAAAACTTCATTGGAGGCCAACTTGAAGGCTAAAATTGCCACGCTGTGCAAACAGTAGGGTGTTCTAACGTTGTGATACTTGGGTACCAAAGTGAAACAAACCCCATAGTATAGAGAGGTAATATAATTAATTAGGTTTGACGTGTAAGCAAACACAAATAATGTCTGAATAGAATCAAATAATGGGTTCAATCAGCTAATCAAGTACATGGACAAAGGCATGGTTGATCGGAACTACATGCTCTATTTATGTTAAAAACTATTTGTCTTTGACTTAAGGTTTTAAAAGACGTTAGACACTATTCTGACGGCAGGCTAGGGCCTAGGCGAGCATCTAGGTAGACTAGGCGGATTTAAGTATATCTATTATATTTTATGTAAATAAGTGTCTGTTTATACTAATATATATAATTTCATCATAAACTACAAAATAGAATGATATATATATATATATATATATATATATATATTATGAAGTATTATAACATAATGAAAACATGGGGAATAAGCCTATAATATTGTGTGTTTATTTAAGTATTCAACAAGTCTCTTACAATTTATTGAAAAAAAATAAAATTCAAAATGAAAGTTATCTATTTTATGACTAAGTGAGTTGCAACTTAGACGGGTCTAGGCGAGTTAGGCGGGTGCCTAGGTGGTCTAGGCGGGCACCTTAGTAGGTTTATGCACCATTTCTTAATTTTCAAATGTTTAAGTATTAATCGGGGCGGTGACCAACGACCTAGCTCCTAGGCGAGGATTTTTAGAACAGTGTTTTGAATGAATCGTGTAGCTGTAGGACATGAGCTCTGCTAGATTGAGGTGTCTATAAACGAAAATAAGAGAATCTAAAGGGTTTTTATCACAAATAGTCCTTGAGACTGATCAAACTCATCATTTTGGTTATTTACTTTCAAAATCAATTAATGTCGTCCTTGACATTCACTACCCCACATCAATTTAGTTCTTTCGTTAAGATTTCGTCAACTATTTTGTTAATTTGCATGGGACCCACAAATCCGATGAATTTGTGACACGTGGATTACACAAAATAAGGGTTTTTACGCAAATAGTTTCTGACGTTGATCCAACTCCTCATTT